TAAATCAAAATTTTGTAAAGAGGAGTAGGGGGGTTTATATAAAAAGGATGCTATAAATATTCCTAAATAAGCTATACTGACAGAAGATACTGTATCTTTCCAAAATTCGTACCAATCCATCGAATTACTCAACTTTTGGTGCAAAAGATTTATAGATGGAGTTAACCATTTGGATAATATATCTAAATCTACTCCTTCTTGATTGAAAGGAATTCCTATAGATCCAACGAACAAAGTAAATAGACCCAATATAAGTAAAGGGAATAACATAGTATTGTCTGGTTCATAAGGATAGGAATAAAACTTTTTATTCTCAAAATGAGTAATAGTAATAAAGGGACGTGTCACATTTCGAACATTTTCAGCAATTGGATATGTCTTTTTTTTCAAAAAAGAAGAACTTTCAATATTATTCATTGTTGATAAAGAAAAATTGTTGTTAATTTTTTTCGAAGCTCCCCTACCCCATAGAGATATTGAATAGAAAAATACTTTTTCTTTACCAATGTAATTTTGAAAATGAACACTTAAATGCCCTTCAAAAGTAAGTAAATATATCCGAAAAATATAAAATGCGGTTAATCCCGCGGTAGCCCAAGCTATTATTGCGAAAATCGTTGAATACAACCAACTATCATTAAGAATTTCATCTTTGGACCAAAAACAAGCCAAGGGTGGAATACCACAAAGAGAAAGTGTACCTAATAAAAAAGTATTTTTGGTAATTGGTATATGCTTTGTTAAACCTCCCATAAGAACCATATTTTGACTTTTATAAGGAGAATATCCAACAATTGTTTCCATTGAATGAATAACGGATCCAGATCCTAAAAATAATAATGCTTTGGAATAGGCATGAGTAATCAAATGAAATAAAGCACTTCGATAAGATCCCATACCTAGAGCTAGCATCATATAACCCAATTGAGACATTGTGGAAAAAGCTAATCCTCTTTTAATGTCTTTTTGAGCAAGAGCTAAAGTAGCTCCTAATAATACTGTTATTATTCCTATCAACGAAATAAAATTCATTATGTAAGGTATAACTATGAAAAGAGGAATAAGCCGAGCTACAAGAAAAATTCCCGCTGCTACCATAGTAGCAGCGTGTATAAGAGCAGAAATAGGAGTGGGCCCTTCCATGGCATCAGGTAACCACACATGAAGGGGAAATTGTGCCGATTTAGCAACGGCACCGGCAAATACTAGACCAGCACACAAAGTAACAAACAAAGAATTGACTTCATTATCATAAATCAAGTTATTGAATATTTCGAATAAATCACGAAATTCAAAACTACCCGTTATCCAGTAAAAACCTAAAATTCCTAATAATAAGCCAAAATCCCCTATACGATTAGTCACAAAAGCTTTTTGGCAAGCATTTGCAGCAAGAGGTCGTGTAAACCAAAACCCTATTAATAAATAAGAACACATTCCAACCAATTCCCAAAAAATATAAATTTGTATCAAATTCGAACTAGTAACTAATCCTAACATGGAAGTACTGAAAAAACCCATATAAGCAAAAAATCTCAAATATGCTTGATCATGAGCCATATAATTATCACTATAGATAAGAACCATAATTCCAACGGTAGTTATTAATATTGACATAATAGAAGTAAGCGGATCGATCAAATAGCCGAATTCTAAAGAAAAATCATTATTAATGATCCAAGACCATACATATTGATAGATCGAATTGCTATTTATTTGCTGAATAGACAGATTGATTGAAAAAATCATGACTATAGTTAACAATAAAACACTCTGAAAAGACCACATACGACGAAGATTTTTTGTTGCCGTCGGAAAAAGAAGAAGTCCGACCCCTATTAATATAGGAATTGGAAGTGGAATGAAAGGGATGATCCACCCGTATTGATATGTCTGTTGCATAAAAACATTTTTTAATTCTTAATTTATTAATTAATTGTTTCCGATTCACCGGATCTTACCTCTTTGAAAGGGATCAATAAAAGTCAAGATATGGACTTTAAGTTAAACTAACTTAAATAGAATTTTAGAATCTTTTGTTTTTTTACTTTACTTATTCTTCTGAATTTTTGCTAAATCCTTAAAATATTCAAATCAAGAAGTTATAATTGTTCAAATTATATAAAATTATATGAAAGGGAAAAAGTACCCGAGTTTGATCAGTTATATAATTAATAGAAAAGGAGATGAAATTTTTTCTTTCATTAAGCAAAAGCAAAGTTTTTATTCTTATCTTAAATCTTTTGGTGGGGTATTTTATTATAATTATATGGAAATTCGCCTTAGAATGACGAAAATAGACAGAAATAAATAAAGGTTTTTCGATTCTTTTTTATTATATTAAGTTTAAGCTTACTTAACTAATTCGATTTTTATGGCACAGCGAGTTCTATAGATACAAACAGGTATAGACTTGAATGAGAAAGAATCGCAAAAAAAGATAACAATCAAAAGAAATTTTTTTACGGATATTTTAAGGAATAGAAAAGTTTGAAAAAAAAAAGAATAACAAAATCTTCGTCTTTTTTCTATTTTTATTTGAGTATTTAATACTAATACAATTTTATTGATTCAATTTTCACATATCTTTACCCTATCGAAATTTCTTTTTCTGAAGAGAATATTATTTCGATAATAAATAGACTAAATGATTGGTTTTGAACAATAGATGTCTTTCACATCCAGTTAGAACGATAAGTAATCCCCTTTAAATGGCAGTTCCAAAAAAGCGTACTTCTACATCAAAAAAGCGTATTCGTAAAAATATTTGGAAAAAGAAGGGATATTGGACAGCCTTAAAAGCTTTTTCCTTAGGAAAATCTCTTTCTACTGGGAATTCAAAAAGTTTTTTTGTACAGCAAACAAATAAATAAGTAATAAAAGTTTGGAATAATCAGAATACACTCAAAAATCGATCCATTTTCAATTTTCTATAAAAAAAAATAGAAAAATTTCATCATCTCTTGAGTTGATGTAATCAATATGAAATGAAATTAAGTTCATTCTTTTAGTTTTAAAAATAAGAATTTTTTGGTTACTGAATTATTCTAAAAATCCTAATACTTTTTTATTGACCAAAAAAAGAAAAATTTTGTTGACAAATCTTTGTAAAAGGTTTACCTTTCTTTTTCTCATTTCCAAGATGGGGAGGTTTATTTCCCCATCGACCTATTTGTCAAAGTTAGATTAACAAAAAATTTCTCTTTTTTTAGAAGAGTGGGGATAAGACCTTTAGTTAAAAGTTATTTTAATTTTTAATTAAAGGGTTGAATAAAAAACTAATAGATTAAATCTTTAAAATCCTTTGCAATAACTTTCGTACTTTTTATTTTTTTATAGGAATTACTTTAAAGATTCACCAGATATTTCCTCTTGTCAACTCAACCCTTAGTGAGGATTTTCCCTCTGAAAATGTGTCAATTTGGAGTGATCAAAAAGGTATTTTTTTCTATTTATTTTATGTTCATTGATAAAAGGCATTTTTTTGAGTCCTTTCTCTTGATTAATTCTTGGTTGAAGGTAGAAGTTTCTAGTTACAAGCGTTCAATTCTAGGAGAACATAAAATCCATGAAAGTCACTAAGAACCTCTAAACTAAAATAACGAACCCCATTTGAACGAGTTTTTTCAGTAATTTAAAACTTTTCTGAAAAAAATATTACACTGAATTTAGTTCTTCAATTTGATCTCGACGATTCTTTGTTTATAGACTATTATAAGTTCAAGACAAGCCGCTATGGTGAAATTGGTAGACACGCTGCTCTTAGGAAGCAGTGCTAGAGCATCTCGGTTCGAGTCCGAGTGGCGGCATGCCACCTTCTAAAAAAGATAAATAGATCCTATAATAAATTCAACTCTCGATTTCCATTTAAGAGACTCTTCATTTTTAAGATTTTTTATGATATTTTCAACCGTAGAACATATATTAACTCATATTTCCTTTTCCATCGTTTCAATCATAATTACAATGCGTTTGATAAGCTTTTTTTTAGTAGATGGGATCGTACAACTATATGATTCGTCTGAAAAGGGCATGATAGTTACTTTTTTATGTCTAACAGGATTATTAGTTACGCGTTGGACTTATTCGGGACATTTCCCACTAAGCAATTTATATGAATCATTAATCTTCCTTTCGTGGAGTTTTTCCCTTATTCATATAGTTCCGTATTTCAAAAAAAATAAAAAGTATTTAAGCACAATAACCGGTTCAAGTGTTGTTTTTACTCAAGGCTTTACTACTTCAGGTCTTTTAACTGAAATAGACCAATCTTCAATATTAGTGCCTGCTCTTCAATCCGAATGGTTAATAATGCACGTAACAATGATGATATTGGGCTATGCGTCCCTTTTATGTGGATCATTATTGTCAATAGCACTTCTAGTCATTACATTTAGAAAAAACAAAAAGATTCTTTATAGAAATAATCTTTTATTAAATGAGTCATTTTTCTTTGTTGAAATCGAATATATGAATGAAAGAAGTAATCTTTTGCAAAATACTTCTTTTTTTTCTGCTAAGAATTATTATAGGTCTCAATTGATTCAACAATTGGATTATTGGAGTTCCCGGGGCATCAGTCTGGGGTTTATATTTTTAACCATAGGTATTCTGTCAGGAGCAGTATGGGCTAACGAAGCGTGGGGATCGTATTGGAATTGGGATCCAAAGGAAACTTGGGCATTTATTACTTGGATCATATTCGCGATTTATTTACATACTCGAACAACTAGAAACCCGAAATGTGCAAACTCAGCAATTGTAGCGTCTATAGGCTTTCTTATAATTTGGATTTGCTATTTTGGGGTCAATCTATTAGGAATAGGGCTGCATAGTTATGGTTCATTTACATTACTAGCTAACTGAATTCAAAAAATTATCTTACGAATACAAGGGAGTGGGGCGCATATAAAAAAATTTATTCGAGTAGGCACGAATCGTATGAATCGAATATTGTATTCGATTCATACGATTCGTGCCCATATGATATCGTGTTCAAATTTATTTCTTAACTTTACTTAGAAATTTAATTTAAGAGAAAAGCTCTCTTTGTTTCATTCTAGAACTTTTTCATTATGATTATAGAATCAACAATTTCAAAATCATAGGCGGTTTTATTTATGAAAACTATTTAGAAAAAGAGTTAGATAGAATAACTTCGACTTTGTCAACTGACAGTGAAAAAATGAAATCGGGGTACATGCCAATGCCGAGTACGGGTAAAAATAGAGAAATCGAAAGAAATAACTCGCGTGGTCCAGAATCAAAAAAATAAGAGTTTGGAATATTAAAGAACTTGTATCCATAGAACATCTGGCGTGACATAGATAATGAATAAATAGGAGTTAATATCATTCCAATTGCCATTACAAAAGTAATTAGTATTTTTGGCATTAAAAGATATTTTTGGCTGGTAATTATTCCAAAAAATACTATCAATTCGGCAACAAAACCACTCATACCCGGTAATGCAAGGGACGCCATGGAAAAGGTACTAAATATCGTGAATATTTTTGGCATTAGGATAGCTATTCCGCCCATTTCGTCAAGGTAAACAAGACGTATTCTATCATAAGTCGTACCTGCCAAGAAAAAAAGTGCAGCACCAATAAATCCATGAGAGATTATTTGTAAAAGAGCTCCATTGAGTCCGGTATCAGTTATAGAACCAATTCCTATAATTATGAAACCCATATGAGATACGGAAGAATAAGCTATTCTTTTTTTTAAATTACGTTGGCCAAGAGATGTTGAAGCTGCATAGATTATTTGTATTGTGCCTACTATCAGTAACCAGGGCGAAAATATAGAATGGGCGTGAGATAATAATTCCATATTGATCCGAACCAGCCCATATGCTCCCATTTTTAATAAGATTCCGGCTAGAAGCATACAAGTGCTGTAATGTGCTTCCCCGTGGGTATCTGGTAACCATGTATGTAGGGGTATAATAGGCAATTTCACAGCAAAAGCAATAAAAAATCCAATATAGAATATTATTTCCAAGGGAAGAGGATACGACTGATTGGCTGATGTTTCAAAATTTAATGTTGGTTCATTAGAACCATATAAACCGATACCCAAAACTCCCATTAAGAGAAAAATAGAACCCCCCGCCGTATACAAAATAAATTTTGTAGCCGAGTACAGACGTTTCTTTCCTCCCCACATAGATAGAAGTAGATAAACAGGAATTAATTCTAACTCCCACATAATGAAAAAAAGTAAAAGGTCTCGAGAAGAAAATAATCCTATTTGAGCACTGTACATCGCTAACATCAGGAAATTAAATAACCGAGAATCCCGAGTAACCGGCCAAGCTGCTAAAGTCGCTAAAGTGGTGATGAATCCCGTTAGTAAAATAGGTCCTATAGAAAGTCCATCTATTCCTAATCTCCAATGGAAATCAAACAACTGTATCCATTTATAATCCTCCATCAGTTGGATTAATGGATCATCTGTTTGGAAATGATAACAGAATGTATAGGCCGTTAGAAGGAGTTCGAAAATACATATAAATATAGTATACCAACGGATGACCCTATTTCCTCTATGGGGAAGAAAAAAAATTAAGGAACCTGCAAATATTGGCAAAATTACAATTATTGTTAACCAAGGAAAATAATTCGTAGTAAAGACAAGATAGACTTGGACCAGAAAAAAACCCGTGCTCAAAATATTTTGAGCACGGGTTTTGTCGGTAAAAAAAAATAAAATGGATTCAAGTAAAATTTTTTCGAACGTATCAATAAGCTAGACCCATACTGCGGGTTGTTTCATGCCATAAATAAACTCGAACACTCAAGAAATCCGTTGGACAGGCGGATTCACATCTTTTACAACCAACGCAGTCTTCGGTTCTTGGAGCAGAAGCAATTTGTTTAGCTTTACATCCGTCCCAAGGTATCATTTCTAATACATCGGTCGGGCAAGCTCGGACACATTGAGTACATCCTATACACGTATCATAAATCTTTACTGAATGTGACATTGAATCTATACATTTTTGAAAGTAATAAATTTTCGACCTAGTAAACTTAATTAACAAATCCTATATTTAGATACCAGATGAATCAACAAGTTATCAGAATTTTTCGAATAAATCTACTTCTGGATTGGTTTATGAGAAAGGTCCAAAATACTTTGATTTCTTAGGTTTTTGAAAACAAGGTCATACTTTAATTTAATATAGCAAACATACTAATTCGAATTCCTTTATGAATATTAGAATTTATATGATTAATACTAGTTATTCAACAAATTCGATTGGTTAATACGAGTTGATTTTCGGTTACGATAAATTGATGAAACAATAGCCAGTCCAATAGCCGCTTCAGCGGCTGCAATAGCTATAACAAAAATTGAAAAAATGTCTCCTTTTAATTGACGATTATCAAAAAAATCAGAAAATGTTACAAAATTGATATTAACTGCATTCAATATAAGTTCAAGACACATAAGAGCTCTAACCATATTTCGACTTGTGATCAATCCATAGATACCGATAGAAAATAAATAGGCACTCAAAACAAGTACATGTTCGAGCATCATTAACCAACTCCTTATCAATCTTATTAATTTCAATCTAAACAACAATGCAATCCTCAATGCAATCGATTCGATTGAATCACATATAACAAAAATTCCATACTTAAATTTCTTTTTTATTATTGACGAGCTACAGCAATTGCACCTATTAAAGCAACTAAAAGAATTATTGAAACGAGTTCAAATGGAAGAAAAAAATCTGTTGATAAATGAACTCCAATTTGTTGACTATTAGTTATCAAATCTTGCTCTAGAATCTGGTTTGATTTTGTAGTCCAAATAATACCGTACCATGACATATCTGGAATAGTAGTAATTAGTGAAATAAAAAGACCTGTACAAACCACCGAAGTAACTCCATCCCCAATAGTCCAAAGATGAAAATCTTTGTAATATTCTGAGCCATTCATGAACATCACAGCAAAAATGATTAAAACATTTATAGCTCCTACGTAAATAAGCAGCTGCGCAGCAGCTACAAAGTAGGAGTTCAATAGAATATAGAATAAAGATATACAAACAAGAACGAATCCCAATGAAAAGGCAGAATAAATTGGATTGGGAAGTAATACCACTCCTAGACCTCCTAAGATTAGACCCGACCCCAGAAAGACTAAAAGAAAATCGTGTATTGGTCCAGGTAAATTCATTTAAAAAATATATAAATTGAGATATTTCATGAGTTTATTGATCTGAGCAGAAAAAAAAGAAGTGATTCTATTTTTTATGGTACTCCTTAACTAAATGAAATTTAAATGGGTCTGGGTTGATATAGATAGTGTTATTGGAGTATTCTAATTCAATATCCGAAAAATGGTTTGAAACTATATTATATATATTTTGAAATCATTACTCTAATGTAGAAATACATTTTCAATCCAAATAAAAGGACCAACTAATAAAAGGTTTGTATTCATATTAAAAAAATCATATCCTTTTAGATCCAAATAGATCCAAATTGAGCCTTAATTAATATTTTTTAATATTAATTAATATGAATTTTAATTTTATTTGTTTAATCAAAGGGTTCTATCCATTTTTTATTTGGGGTGAATTCGAAATTGTTCGAATTGTGTAATCATCAATTACTGATGTTGGTAACCGACCCAATGAAATTTGATTGTAATTCAATTCGTGACGATCATAAGTAGAAAGTTCATATTCTTCAGTCATTGATAAACAATTTGTTGGACAATACTCAACGCAATTACCACAAAATATACAGACTCCAAAATCAATACTGTAATTAAGCAACTGTTTCTTTCGAATATCGGTTTCCAATTTCCAATCAACAACGGGTAGATCTATAGGACATACACGAACACATACTTCACAAGCAATGCATTTATCAAATTCAAAGTGGATTCGGCCCCGGAAACGTTCCGGTGTGATCAGTTTTTCGTAGGGGTATTGAATAGTTATAGGTAAACGATTCGCATGAGACAGGGTAATCATGAAACCTTGACCAATGTACCTGGCAGCTCGGATTGTTTGTTGACCATAATTTATGAATTCAGTTAACATAGGAAACATATCGTGAATATGTATAAATAAAAAGATTTTATGCTTGTTTCTTTCTCTTGTTTGAGACAGGTCGTGAATTGAATGTAGAATATTGTAGTATTTTACAATGAAAGAAGTTGGGACGAAGTTGTTAATAATAGATTACCTAGAGAAATAGGTAAAAGAAATTTCCACCCAAGATTTAATAGTTGATCCATTCTCAGCCTTGGTAAAGTCCATCTTGTTGCAATAGGAATGAACAAGAACAAATAAGTTTTAGCTAATGTAATAAAGATACCAATTACTGGGCCAAAAACTTTACCCGCTTTATTTATGTCAAATATCTCAGAAACGAATATGTACGGAATAGAAAGATTCCAGCCTCCCAAGTAAAGAACTGTTACAAATAATGAAGAAACCAGTAGATTTAGATACGAAGCAACGTAAAATAAACCAAATTTGATACCTGAATATTCAGTTTGGTAACCCGCTACTAATTCTTCTTCGGCTTCTGGTAAATCAAAAGGCAATCTCTCACACTCGGCTAAAGAAGAAATTAGAAAAATGATAAATCCTATAGGTTGACGCCATAAATTCCATCCCCAAAAACCATATTTTGACTGCGCTTCAACTATATCAACTGTACTTGAACTGTTAGATAATCATAGTCGATGATAACATCGCTGTTCCCATCACTATTACAGAACCGTACGTGAGATTTTCACCTCATACGGCTCCTCAAAGATCACAAATAAATCTAAGGGCATTTCACTATTATTTATCTTGATATTTTGTAAGATAGTTATCCTATAAGTTCGTGAATTAGATCGATGGAATTCTGTTTGCTATATTTTATATTTAAAATAAAAAAGTGCTTCTGAATTCATCTTATCTTTTAATTATATAATATAAGAATTTTTTTCTTTGTTGATCAATAACTTAATCCTTGAATAAAAGACCTTTTATAACATTTTTATAACATATAGTACATAGATATTTCAACCTATTATTTTCAATTACGAAAAAGAATTAGACCCTGCTTTATGATTCATGAATCATGAAAAGAGTTCTATTTTTCTAACTAAAATAAAAAAAAATAGAGGAAAAAAGAATCCAAAAAAGATTTCTTTTCCTTTGCAATTATTCCTTTTTATTCCGTTCCTATTCTACTTTTTCATAAAAGGGAATTTTAACCAAAATCAAACTAAAAGATTATTTCGTTCTTGATAGTTATTTAATTAATTGTTGGATGGGAACATACTCTGGATCGGAATCTTGGGGAATACTTCTTGATCATTTCTACCAACTTAAAGCCCCAATTTGAATTCCCTTTATATACGGAAATATCCCTTTGGATAACTTACAGAATCTCCATCATTACTAATCCTTTGTGTATTTTCGTCTTTCTAATCATCCACCAATTTGTGGTCAACTTTTTTTTATGTTAATACACCTATGGTAATAGGTAATAAAAACCCCATAGAGTTGATCTTTTGAACCCGCTTCAAGCCATGATGACATAATAACCAATCTTGGGGTAAACAGTCTCTACTGCTTTTGTTTACTTCGCTCTTGTACATAGGAAATGAGATTCAATTTTATTTACTGCAAATTTTGAAGCCGTTTTCTTTCACCCATATAACTATCTGCTTTACGTCATCAACCCGAATGATGAATAAAAAAATGAAAACTAAAATGTATATTTAACCCATTTAACTTAACTTTCTTCTTAAGAAAGAAAGAATATAGGGGAAATTTTGCGTCTCACCGAATCACACGTAGAGATATTGATAATACACATAGAGTTAATGGTATTTCATAACTAATTGATTGAGCAGCAGCCCTTAGACCACCTAAAAAGGAATATTTATTATTTGATCCATATCCCGACATAAGAAGTCCAATGGGAGCAATACTTGAAATGGCGATCCATAAAAAAACACCAATAGTAAGATCGGCTAGAACAAGTCGATAACCAAAAGGAATTACTGAATAACTTAGTAAAATTGATATGACTGCGATGGATGGTCCAATACTGAATAAACGAGCATCGCCCCTAGATGGAAGAAGGTTCTCTTTGAAAAGTAGTTTTGTACCATCCGCTAGAGCTTGAAGAATTCCTAAAGGGCCGGCATATTCAGGTCCAATACGTTGTTGTATCCCTGCAGATATTTCTCTTTCTAACCAAACAATCACGAGTACACCTATTGTGATTCCTAATACAAGAGTAAAAATGGGGATAAGTATCCATATGATCCCATAGACTTCTTTTAGGGATTCCAATTTGAAAAAAGAATTAATAGCCTGTAGTTCGGTTGTATCAATTATCATTTTAACGATCAACTTCTCCCATAATGATATCTATGCTACCTAGTATCGTCATAATATCAGCCAATTTCATTCTTTTAACTAACTGAGGAAGAATTTGCAAATTGATAAAACCCGGTGGACGAATTTTCCATCTCCAAGGAAAAACACTTCGATCTCCTACCAGAAAAATTCCCAATTCTCCTTTTGGTGCCTCAACTCTCACATAAAGTTCTTGTTTCGACAATTCAAAGGTCGGAGAAGGTTTTTTACTAATAAATCGATATTCAAAATCATTCCATTCGGGATCTTTTACTCTATCAATATCAAAACGCCGGATTTCTAAATTCTCATAAGGGCCTCCTGGAATTCCTTCCAGAGCCTGTTGTATAATTTTTATGGATTCTGTCATTTCGCGGATTCGTACTAAATAACGAGCTAATGAATCACCTTCGTTTTGCCATTGAACCTCCCAATCAAATTCGTCATAACACTCATAATGATCAACTTTACGAAGATCCCATTGTATTCCGGAAGCTCGTAGCATTGGTCCTGATAAACCCCAATTTAGTGCTTCTTCTCCGCCGATAATGCCTACGCCTTCAACTCGTTCTAAAAAAATAGGATTACGTGTAATAAATTTTTGATATTCAGCAACCCCTGTTAAAAAGTAATCGCAAAAATCCAAACATTTATCTATCCAGCCATGAGGTAGATCAGCGGCTACTCCTCCTATGCGAAAAAAATTATGCATCATTCGCATACCGGTAGCAGCTTCGAATAGGTCATATATCAATTCTCTTTCTCGAAAAATATAGAAGAAGGGGGTCTGTGCGCCAATATCTGCCATAAAGGGACCAAGCCATAACAAATGGGAAGCGATACGACTCAACTCCAACAAAATGGCTCGGATATAGCTAGCTCTTTTAGGTACTTGAATATTTCCTAATTGTTCAGGTCCATTTACGGTTATTGCTTCTGTGAACATAGTAGCTAAATAATCCCAACGTGTTACATAGGGTAAATATTGTACAATTGTTCGATTTTCCGCAATTTTCTCCATCCCTCTGTGTAAATAACCCAATATTGGTTCACAATCAATAACATCTTCACCATCTAAAGTAACGATGAGTCGAAGAACACCGTGCATTGATGGGTGATGAGGGCCCATATTGACTATCATGAGGTCTTTTCTTGTAGCTGGTACAGTCATAAGTTTTTTACCCATTCATTCTTCCATGAATTGCTGAAAGTGAAAAGAAGTTTATCAAAATTTAAACGAATAAAAAATAAAAAAAGTACTTAAAATGACACGACTCTTCTAATTAACGAGTTTTGGTCTCTCGAATACTCAATAGACCAATTAATTCTTTATAACGTACTCTATTTTTTTTTGCCAAATAAGCCAACAGCCGTTGACGTTTTCCCAAAATTTTTCGTAAGCCTCTTTGAGATAAATAGTCTTTTTTGTGCAATTCCAAATGTGAAGTAAGTCTCCGTATCTTATTGGTAAAACGGAATACTTGAAATTCAACAGACCCCCTCTTTTCTTCTTCAGAAATGACTGAAATGAGTGTATTTTTTACCATAAAAGATTGCTACCCCCCCTTTTTTACAGATATGTTTTTTTACCGATGAGTAATAATAATGGTATTTATTTTAATGTGGTATATATAATAATTTGAATTTCGTTATGGACTCCTAATTTTATTAATTTACATGAATTAATTCCGTTTTAAATTAAATTTGATTCAGATAGGAATAGAAAAAAGTGATACATTTTTCCATTCAGAAAGGGGCATAATTTAGACCTAAAATTAATAAGATTCTGTTAATTGATTTCTAGGTCTAATTGATACGTTATTGGTTTTATTATCTATATTAAAAGTGAAAATGGGATGTAAAACAGGTCATGTGTGAATCTCTTTCCTTTCATATACCCTACAGGGTAGAGCAGATATACGAAAAATGTACTATCAATGACTTTTCAATCGTGGATACATATATATCCTTAACATACTGAAACGACTGCCGTTATTGGTATCAAACCAATAGCGATTCATACAAGCCAAATCTTCTAATCGATAATTAGGCCAAAGAAAAAACTTTAATTTAATTAATTCTTTTTTATCTTTATCAAGATCTTTCCTTTTGTCCAAAAGTTGACTAGAGTTGTTCTTGGTACAAAATACTGAATTTTTATCAACACTATTCCTATTTTTTGAAGTGAAACAAATTAGGATTCTCAACTCTCTACGGCACCTGGTCGATAAAATATTTTCAGGAACAAGTAAATCAAAACGATTCTTATCAACGTATGTTTGTTCTCGGTATCCTTGATTAGTTTGGTGCTTATTCTTATGAACTACTGAAATACCTAAGATTTGATACATAATAAATTGTCCATCATTTTTTACAGACAGGCGGTCAGGTTCGATAACCAATACTCCCCTTTTGATCAATTCTGTAAGACTTAAATTCTTCTGAATCAGCATTATATCCAAACTCATTTCTCTTCTTTGAATCGAAGATATAGTAATTTTTCTTGGATTTATCAGTCGAAGCAGGAGACAATATATTTTGACATTATTGATCATTCTTTGATTCAAAGCATCGCCCCATCTCAATTGAAAAACTAAATAACGTTTTAGGAAAAAATCCAGTTCTGCTTCCGTTTTACTTTTGTATTGCTTTTTCTTTTTACCCGCTTTTATCTTTGATACTGCATAATCCTCTTCATTATCTTTTTCTTGCTTTGTCTTTGTTGGGGGAACGGATCCAAGATTCCCCTGTTTTTGTGCATCTGATCTAAGATCTTCTTGGTCCGCAGGGGTTTCTTTTTCTTTTTGATTCTGATTTTTATTCTTTATTTGTTTATTCGATGGTATAACACATTCCGTCTTTTGCTTTCCATCGACGTTTTTATTGTTACTAATAACATTTTCATTTAGATTCAAATTGAAAAGAAGTACTTTGCTTGGTATAACCCACGGTTTCATTTTATATAGATTATAAAGGAGTACGAATTCTGGAAAGAACCAAAATTCCAGACTCGAGATGGGACGATTTAATATTTCTTCATTCATTCCCATCCAATCCAAAAAAAGTTTTTTTGGACTTGGCGAGTTTATTTTGGGATTTTGCGGAAGCAGAAGATAAAAAGGGCCTTTTTTATCAATTTTATCAATTATTTGATAATTGTTAGTACCAATCTTAGTATTTTGATTACTCTTAGTATTGATTTTGACCCAGGATTCAATATCGACCCTTTTTCTAAGAAAAAATTTGATGATTTTCCAATCAAAATATTTTCTATCGGTATTTTTTTCCATATATCTAATATTACCTTTTACTAGATAAGGATTGATAGGGATACTCTCCAACATATCAAAAAGGTTGTGTTTATATGTGTTAGAATTATAATAAAAATCTTGATTCTTATTTACTTGTACTTGAAAGGGTGATTCATAAATAGATGGGTCCCTCATTTTTTGATAATTAATATATTTATATGATAAAAGATCATATCTAGAGTTTTTTTGAAAATTCTCTTTTTGATTCAATAATGAATATACTTCAGAATCCTTTTGTTTTTTGTAATGGCCCTTTTCATATGAATTCAATTTGAAATTTTGATTTTGAGCCATATGATGTTGATTAACTCTATTTCTCCATTTTTCTGATATTAATTTAGACCATCTAATCGAGGGTAAATCGTATTGATAATGTCCTTTTAACCAACCTTTCCATTGATCCATCCCATAACTCGGAAGTTTCTTAAGACTTAATTCATTCTGAATTATTCCTTGTTTTTCAAACGAATGCTTTATTTCAGTTTTAAGAAAAAAAGAGGTTCCGAGTAGTGAAAAAAAGATCTTAATTTATACAAGTTACTAACTTTAGTTTGTGATAATTTGTAAAATACATATGCTTGTGACAAGTAGGATAAATCACAAAAAATATATGAATTTGTCTTATTGTTAATAGTATCAATTGATTTTTTTATAGTCGAAATAAAGTAAATTGTATTTTGATTTTTTTTATTAATCCTTTCTTTATTTGCTTTATTAATGGATTTATCCATAATTTTTTTTATTGATTCAATAAAAAGTTGTGTATTCAGTCTGGTAATATTAATGATAAATAAAAATATATCTATGTATATTCTTTCAACGAAAATTTTTATAAAAGAATTGAATTTAGAGAATAATCGGGCATTTCTTTTTTTTAATATTTGCCAAATGTTTTTTGGCAATTCTAATCTTTTAGTATTCCAATTTCTTTTATTAGGACTTATATATATTCTTGGCGTTGGGGTTATTTTTTTTTTTTCTTTTATAATTCTTTCTATTTGATTTCTGATTGTACTTGTTCTATGAGACATATCCTTCTTTTTTTTTTCTGTCAGTGAAGAATTTGTCCAATTTGGAGAGTTAATTTTACTAAAGGATTCATGAATTATCTGATTGCTGATTATGGAATCTTTTTCGTTTTTAGTTTCATTCGATTCATATACTTCTCTGAATCTAAATAATATAATTGGATTTAATTTAGAAAGTTCTTTTATTAGTCTTTTTAGAAATAAAAAACTTTCGATAATCCATTTTTTTGTTTCTTTTGAAACTCTTAGAAGTAATTTTGTTTTTCTCTTTAAAACTTTTAGAGCTAGAAAATATGCCCTTTTGAATTTTATAATTTTTGTTTCCAGCTCCTTAACAGCGGGCTCAAAAAAAGAAGATTGTTTTCTGGGAGAACCAAACGGAAGTTCAGTTTCCATTCCCCAAACTGTTAAAAAACAAAAATCATCTTTTTGTTTTTTCTTTTTCATTAAATCTCTATGAGAGGGCCGTCGTTTCGATCTATGCCAAGGTTTCAGACAGAAAGGAAATAGGATTTTTATCTGAATACCATCTGTTAACCAATTTTTCGGAAATTCTGTTTCCGATAATTGAACACCATTATAGGTACATTTAATATGCATTTCTCTATTCCATCCCTCTAGATCCTCAGACCATTCCGGAAAT